TATTGTGAAACTCAACAAGTTGCAATGCAACCTTCCAGAGAATTTGCTTATATGTATAATGTAAATGAAAGTGCCTAATGAAGCATTCTGCATAAAAGAGCCTAAAAAAAAAAGAAAAAGAAAAAAAAAAGAAATTGCCAAATATCCTGCAATACTCTATTTTTCACTTTGGCTTGGATAACATGACAATACTTGGAGCATTTATCACTGATACTGGATCAGCCTGATATTGTATCATTAATACTGAACATACTGAGTATTCTCATTTCAAAACTGCATAACAATATCTTTGAAATCTTAAAAAAAAAAGTCTCATTATATATTTATATTCCACACTTCCAAGTCAATAGTCAATATCCGTATCTCATTTCTATTCTGATCCTGTTAACATTTCTTTCAAAGTGCGACCAATTTATGATCTTTACCACATTTCACTTTCATTTTGTCTTCCATTTAATAATTTGACAATAAAGCATTTTATCACATTTCTGCTTCCAGTTCTGCTGATCACAGAAAAATATTACTCTAATTATCAATCTATCACTAAACATAAGAATCTGTCATAAAAATTCTTATCACATCTTTTTAAAACTTAACCTTCAACTCCTGCATAATGATGATAATAAAGATTACAGTCTGACAACAAATAAGCAACATTTTTCATATACTGCAGAAAGATAAAAAATAAAAAAAAAACAATATATAGAAAACAATTAAAATTTCCCCAATAACCTGTTGCAGATGCATGACTATTTTCCTCTAATAAAATATACATAAAGGATTAATTTGTAAAGACTCGTACCAGATAAACAAGAATGCTATTAGCACCCTCCTATTCACCATAAATTAAATATCTTATTCAATGTATAAGCTGAGAAAATGTTTTCTTGCTCTGAAAGGTATACCTATTAACACTGAAAGTTCATAACAGGTTTGGCTCAATAGTGGACTGAATGTGGCAACAGATTTTCCGAAAGTTTAAGCACACACTTGATTTTCCCTCCAGTACACCTTTCCTAAACCAGCCACTGGGGAAAAGTCCCTAATATTTGCTGTGGCATGCAAGACTTTCAACTAAAACTAATAAATTATGAAGAAAATGTAAACAGTTTAGTATTGACATTGGTTCTCAAACTCCTAAGGGTACATGGGGTCTTGAGCAATCACTACCTCTCCACCCACTTCAATTCTTTACACACATTAATGAAACAATTGCTGGATAAAGCAGCTTGTTCTCTAATCACAATCCCTTTCCTTCATTAACATGCTGTGACACTTGGGATCGGAAATGATGTTCTGTATTTTCGGAGCAAATGCAAAAACCTTCTCATTTATCACAAACCGGTGGAGTCATTTATAAATGGCTGGAAAACAGTGATGGTATCATATCACTTAAGCTTATCATTTATATTGCATTTTCATAATGAACTCCATACTGCCAATTGTAACATCAGCAACAACTGCCGACTTTTTTTTCTGGCTATGGTATCTTATATAAACTCTTGCAAAGTTAACAAGCTTCAAAATTTAACTTTCCTAAGAAAAAAGAGCACATGGAGATTTGTTAATTTTTTATATAATGAACATATGCTCAACACTACTTCAAGCTACATCCTAACTATGCACACTGTCTTCAAATGGGTTAGTCCTGGGTCTTTGTGCTAGTAGAATTGTTCACTACTCAACTGAAAACTAGTCTTACCATCAACTAAGTAACACTAATTAAGAAACCAGAAATAAATGAGCACTCTTTGGAAAACTCTGAAAGCCATTCAATGCGCAGACTCACCCCCTGTACATTAATCTCACGATTACTCTGGGCAACTAATGGTACTTAACAAATTCAATAAGATTAAGAAAACTGCTAAATAAAACTGATCACAATACAAGAAGATGCTGCATCCCCAACCGAGGCGTTGCAGCTCAACACGAGAGATTTCAAAATAATGGACACTGGACCATGGAATGCATTAATAGGTAACTCGCACCCACAAATCTTTTTGCCATGGCATGCACATTTTAAAAAATAACTACTCTTATCTCCTTCTGAAAATTTACCTGCTTTTACTAGAAAAAATGTACATCTGACAATGTTTTCAACTGCAAGCACCACATCATGAACTGCTACAGGGGCCTTTTCTGAATCTTTTAGGCAGGCTACAGTCACTAGTACAATTTGATGAGATAAAAGGTATTAACAAAATTTGATAATATGTGTGTGTGTGTGTGTGTGTGTGTTTATATGTATGTGTTTGTGTATGTATATGTGTGTGTGTGTGTGTGTGTGTGTGTGTGTGTGTGTGTGTGTGTGTGTGTGTGTGTGTGTGTGTGTGTGTGTGTGTGTGCATATATGTGTGTGTGTGTGTGTGTGTGTGTGTGTGTGTGTGTGTGTGTGTGTGTGTGTGTGTGTGTGTGTGTGTGTGTGTGTGTGTGTGTGTGCATATATGTGTGTGTGTGTGTGCATATATGTGTGTGTGTATGTATATGTGTGTGTGTGTGTGTGTGTGTGTGTGTGTGTGTGTGTGTGTGTGTGTGTGTGTGTGTGTGGTGTGTATATGTGTGTGTGTATGTATATGTGTGTGTGTATGTATATGTGTGTGTGTATGTATATGTGTGTGTGTATGTATGTGTGTGTGTATGTATGTGTGTGTGTATGTATGTGTGTGTGTGCGCGCATGTGCGTATGTGCACATGTACACATTAATATCTTATACCAAAGATAAGCAACCATTTCATAATAAACTCTGCTACTCTGCAAACCTATGACTATAAGCTCCTTGAACAATCCTTACACTATATAATCCTCAAGACTACTGACGCTTACTCTTAAAATTCAAATTGTTCAACCATACTGCCACAGAGCCAACACTAACTGATTAAATACTAACAAAAATAAGTTATAAGTTGAATGAGGCATGGCATGCAAGCTCTGAAAAAAAATAAAAAATAAAAAAAATAAAATAAAATGCACCAAAGAGTAAAATTTGTACCTTCTAATCTCATTTTCTCTCTGACCTAGCTGCTGGACAGAAAAACTTCAATACTAGACATTTATACACAATACGATAGGCCGTTACTCTAAAACATTTCATAATTTTCAAAAATAATTACTATCATTAGTATCTGACAAAAGCAACTTCCAACTGTGAATCCCGACTGCAGTTAACTCCGGGAAATCAAACTGTACTGACACCCAGCCAGACATGACCGCTCATATGCCCATGTCTGGAATAGATCAGAGACATTTGCACCACAGCAGCAGTGACTTAAGGGATATGTCCAGCATAATCACACAAGCTGATGACAGAGTACATTCAACCTGATTCAACCAAATGATTTTGAGCAACAAAAGACTCAGCAGCAAGATTTCTCTCCATCTTGTGTGAAAGACCGATCTCACTCCGACCAGATAACCAAGAATGCCATTAGCACCCTCCTGTACAGCGGTAATAATAATTATTAAAAAAGAAAAGAAAAAAAAGAAAAAAGTTTTTTACAGTAAAGGAATTCACATTCTCTTTTATCTGGGGGTTAAAAAGAAGTTTGTACAAAATCATATGAAACTTGTAAACTACATGTCAACAAAGACTTTTTTCTCCCTAATTTCATAAAAAGAATACGACAAAAGCATGACATCTTCTGTCTAGAAAATTCCTCTTTAAATCTTAACCATATACAACAACATAAAAAATGACGATGACTAAAGGAGATGGATTCACAACTCATATGGCAAGCAACATGAAAGAGACTTTCATAGTTCAGTCAAGAACATTTTAAGACAGTGATGATAATATCAGCTACTAAATCAGTTGGTAATGCAAGATAATCATACAAATAAGAGTAAAGAAAATAACAGACATAAAAAATTAACAAAAATTGTAACCCTCATTAATAGTAACAACAATAATAGTATGTCCTACAAATTATAATAACAATTTACAAGAATAATAATAATAATAATAATAATAATGTGATAATATGGTGAGGAGTAACACTGCAGTGCTGAGCCAAGGCCTTGATTTTATGTCAATCAGCTTACAGAGCAAGATGGTTACCTAACGCAGGCGGCAGGGAGGGAAACCTGGGACAAACTACAAACTACAAACAAACTACCAGGGATTAGGACATCCCTGGTAGTTTGTTTGTGTTTGTTTATAAATATAATTTTCTGTATGGTCTTTGTCTGTTTATTTGTGTGTGAACTTATCTGTTTTGTTCGTCTTTTGTAAAAAAAAAAAAAAAAAAAAAAAAAAAAATTGTGAACAAAATAACAGAGAATCTGAAACTCCCTATTATCTACCATTTTACTGCTCCCTATTCTAACTTCGTTTCACTGCTCCCTATCTTAACAATGTGAAGGTGATGTGATTCAGATGGTAATGGGAATGAGGATGGGGATGATAATGATGATGATAATAATTACAACTGTACTAGAGATAATAATAATAATAATAATAATAATAATAATAATAATAACAACAATAATAATAATAAAGAGAAAACACTTATATCACCATATAAAAACATAATCAAGCAAAAGTTAAACGGTCATCATGGCCAACAATATCAACACAAAAAGAACAGACCTCAAGACATAACTGAATTAATGGCATGTACTTCAGCTCTCATCAGCTTGTAACATGTTTGAAATATCAGTCCCTAGAGGCTATTTACTCTCAATTCAAAGTACAGAGTTGCTGAGCCATTCCATCTTAAAAAGGAAAAAAAAAAAAAAAAAAAAAAAAAAATTGTGAACAAAATAACAGAGAATCTGAAACTCCCTATTATCTACCATTTTACTGCTCCCTATTCTAACTTCGTTTCACTGCTCCCTATCTTAACAATGTGAAGGTGATGTGATTCAGATGGTAATGGGAATGAGGATGGGGATGATAATGATGATGATAATAATTACAACTGTACTAGAGATAATAATAATAATAAAGAGAAAACACTTACATCACCATATAAAAACATAATCAAGCAAAAGTTAAACGGTCATCATGGCCAACAATATCAACACAAAAAGAACAGACCTCAAGACATAACTGAATTAATGGCATGTACTTCAGCTCTCATCAGCTTGTAACATGTTTGAAATATCAGTCCCTAGAGGCTATTTACTCTCAATTCAAAGTACAGAGTTGCTGAGCCATTCCATCTTAAAAAGGAAAAAAAAAATGCTAACTGTAAAGCGTTTATTCCGTCAGCTTTTAGAAAAGTATCAAAACCGCTCTCCAACATCTAGAAAGTCTTGGCATGTACAGAGCTATCCTCTCTGTAAGTCTTCTTCAGTTAAATGAGTTGCTATCCTTTGAAATGGATCTGATAGAAAAAAAGAGCTTATCTGAGCTAACAAGATTCTACAAAACTGGCTGGAAACAAACCAGTCTTGCCAGTACGCTGCAAAGTCCCCTTGTACCAGCCATCTTCTCGTTTCTTGTGCACGTATATGATGTCTCCAAGCTGCAGTTCTAACTCGTATTCACTATTTGGTGGGTATGGTACTATGCAACGGAACCTAAGAAAAGAGAATGACAGATGTTTTGTAGAAACCCTCAGCTGAAAGCAAAACCTTGACTTATCTCAACATATATGTATTAAAGATGATATTGAATCAAAACAAAATCTTACCAAAAACTTAGTGCTATTACAGAATGAGCCACATTTTTTCCTGATTTTGGTACTTATCTATGCTATTACAACTCAAGGGTACAAATGCATCAGACTTTTCAGGACACTCACCTCCCACGGACTAGGGGAGCAGGTTGTTTTGCGCGTCGAGGTGCTTCCGATGGGATGTCTGCTGTGGTTTGGACAGATGTCGGTGGAGATGGTGTAGGAAGAGATGAAGGAGTGACACCAACCGCACTTGTGTCTGGGTTGCTTCCAGTTCTAGGAAGACAGAGCAAGAGGAAGAAATAAAAAGGGATGAGAATTTTTCCAGACTTTAGCATGATACATTTGAACATTCAGTAGCTCCTTAGAATGCTGTATTACGGAAGATATTCAGAAACACAGAGAACTCATAGTCTCTGCTATTTGTAAAATTAACTAGTGTGATACATCATCTAGAAAGAAAGCATCAGTCTTAACACACTGTTAACATATCTACTGCCATTAACTTCCACATACCAACATGCTTAAGAAACAAACAAATAATATACCTTTACAAAAGAGTCATAATCTTTGCTCCTTCCTCCAATTAACAAAAATTTCAGCTAAAAAATTCCCAACATCACTACAGTTAGTATTCATTCATACTTCTACCTACCTAACATTATTTTGTACATTTTTTTTCACAATGAATTATATTCAATCTGATTTTAAAATGTGGAAGGACTGAAAGTGACAAATTTTCTGAAATATTTACAAACTGAATAATTTCAGTGTTAAAATCATTGCAACATCTATTATCATAAGTGATGCAATAGAATCACAGAGTTTGATGGATAATAAAGTAAAAATGGTACAGAGGAAATCACCATTCTGGCATTTGTGTGTCTTCGGCAATGCAATTAAGTTATTACAGTAAATTATGCAAGTTCATGCTATATGTTATAATACTGGTAAATAAAGCCTGAGACTAAAATTCAGCATTGTTCTCTTCCGTACAACTGTCAAAATACACTTACTGGATATGAATATAAGAGGCATAAAGATTTATAGAAACAAAATTAATTACCATGTTTTCTACTTGAATACTACATACAAATTAATGGTCAAATAACGATTCTGTTTCAGGATTCGTTCACACTCAAAAGTAAAATACCCCCCCCCCCCCCCCACACACACACACACAAACATCTTTCTTCTTCACCTGTTGATGTTAGGATTACATTTATATGTATGCTGTCCACTGTGTGTGTGTGTGTGTGTGTGTGTTTTTTTCTTTTTTTGTTTTAATTAATTAACTCTATGCTCCTAGGGATGACATATAAACACATGCCATGCCCACTGTGAGTTTAGTTTATCAAATGTGCTTAAGCATAGATGGCTCCATGAGTGCTTAGGTACCAAGGAGTCTATTAGTAGTCCTGCCAATCTCACCAGTTTACTCTTTTCCTTGATTTTTGGAAATATTTTTTATAAAGTCAACAGTAATCATAATAGCATTAATATCTATGGCATTGGTAAATGTACAAATTTCTTGAAAACTTAACCCATTGCATCCTGGCACCTTGCTATCTGTACAATGCCCGAAATCCGGACATAAGGCTTACTTGAGTGGCGACTTTCCTGGGTATGGGGCTTGTAAACCTGGCCCACAGGTGTGCAGTGTCAAGACTCCTTGCATCTCTTTTGTTTTTTTTACCATTTTCCAATGCCTATATTGGTCATTTTGTATGCTGTATCAAGATGGTAAGAGGGTCTTTTCCTTGCAGTCTCCAAAGCACTGGTAGTCTACAATTTTGTGCACTAATAATAACAACAGGCAACATTTAATCATTTGCAATTTTTAAATATTTGATTTCATTCAACTTTCTGCACTCTAGGTCACAGCGGGCAGGAATAGAATCCTGAGCATGGAAAGTGTTCTCTCGGGTGCTCTTCCAAGGATGGTACATTCCACACTTGTTTACAATAATGCAATAGTCCCTTTCTAACTGCCAAAAGAGTCTAATCTTCCTCCAATAGCTTTGCACTCATCATGAGTGATTCCAAGTACCCTGGCCTTCAGATGATTTTTTTCAATACAGCATATTCCCCTCACTAGGCCAATTTCTTTCATGATATGATGGTCATGTCAGCCCAATCTAATGAGTTAAGGAAAAGGGAAATCATGGTGGGTCACAGTGGACCATACACGTTTCCTGTCAGGGTATATAGGCAGTTTTTGTTGTGAGTTGATGGTAAACTCCAAAAAGTGTTATTACTTGTTAGAGATAAACAAATGGTTCTTTCACAAAACTTAGCCAGATGAGTAAGTTACTCAAAGTTTAGTTAGTGACAGAGTTTGCTGCAAGATTAGCAAAACCCTTAAGGATCTTCTTAGCTAAGTCTTGCCATTCCACAAATACCAATCAAATTGAACTGGTTGAAATGATCAAGCTTAACAATTCCATTCTGATGAGCCCTTTTGTGTCATAAGTCCTTTTAACAAAAGACATATGAGTAAGAAAGCTGAACAGGTCTTCCAAATATACACTATTTTCTTTCTAACAACACACACACACACACACACACACACACACACACACACACACACACACACACACACACACACACATTTACTTACAACCTTACCTATGCACACCCATACACGTGCATAAATGTACACAAATGCAAGTAGTACTTCTGCAGTTCAAAATAGCTGTTAAAAATGCTGTGACATACTTCCTCCATGCTCATCCAATATCTCTCTACTAGATAGACTGCAAGATCTAAGGCTTACATCAACCTATTCCCATTCTGCCCAAGGAAACTGAGAAGAAAACTGTTAGAACTGCAGCGATTACTAGAAAAAAACTAACAAGTTTTTATTTTGCCAAAAAGAGTATCATTTTCACTTCATGCACATTAAACGCTCAGTAAGGTAATCTTTATGTTACAGAGAAATAGATTTGGCTGTTACGGTGCAAGAGGCTGATAAAGCATATATATTCTGATACAATTCATATGTACAACAGACATGCTCACTGCTCTCAAGATACTCAAGTAATTAAATCTATAAACTGGGCTACAAAGTTAATTCTTCAATACAAAAATATTAATTCAAAAATTTCTTTCCATTACCAAGAGCTAGAAATACAAGAGATACAGATGAGAGGGAGAGAAGTCTCCTGCTCACCAAGTGATGCTTTTTAGTCGCACACCTGCACCAGAAGGGAATTACGTACCTGCCCCGCAACATCATGTTGGAGAGGATGATATTGGGCCGGTCTCGGGACCTGATGCGGCAGGACCCCCCACCGGACCGCAGGCGAGAGTTAGGACCGAACCCTAAGCTTGAACCCAACACACCTCCTGCACCCCCCCCTACCAGTGTGCCTGGGCAAGATTTTTTTTTTTTTTTTTTTTTTTTTTTTTTTTTTTTTTTTTTTTTTTTTTTTTTTTTTTTTTTTTTTTTTTTTTTTTTTTTTTTTTTTTTTTTTTTTTTTTTTTTTTTTTTTTTTTTTTTTTTTTTTTTTTTTTTTTTTTTTTTTTTTTTTTTTTTTTTTTTTTTTTTTTTTTTTTTTTTTTTTTTTTTTTTTTTTTTTTTTTTTTTTTTTTTTTTTTTTTTTTTTTTTTTTTTTTTTTTTTTTTTTTTTTTTTTTTTTTTTTTTTTTTTTTTTTTTTTTTTTTTTTTTTTTTTTTTTTTTTTTTTTTTTTTTTTTTTTTTTTTTTTTTTTTTTTTTTTTTTTTTTTTTTTTTTTTTTTTTTTTTTTTTTTTTTTTTTTTTTTTTTTTTTTTTTTTTTTTTTTTTTTTTTTTTTTTTTTTTTTTTTTTTTTTTTTTTTTTTTTTTTTTTTTTTTTTTTTTTTTTTTTTTTTTTTTTTTTTTTTTTTTTTTTTTTTTTTTTTTTTTTTTTTTTTTTTTTTTTTTTTTTTTTTTTTTTTTTTTTTTTTTTTTTTTTTTTTTTTTTTTTTTTTTTTTTTTTTTTTTTTTTTTTTTTTTTTTTTTTTTTTTTTTTTTTTTTTTTTTTTTTTTTTTTTTTTTTTTTTTTTTTTTTTTTTTTTTTTTTTTTTTTTTTTTTTTTTTTTTTTTTTTTTTTTTTTTTTTTTTTTTTTTTTTTTTTTTTTTTTTTTTTTTTTTTTTTTTTTTTTTTTTTTTTTTTTTTTTTTTTTTTTTTTTTTTTTTTTTTTTTTTTTTTTTTTTTTTTTTTTTTTTTTTTTTTTTTTTTTTTTTTTTTTTTTTTTTTTTTTTTTTTTTTTTTTTTTTTTTTTTTTTTTTTTTTTTTTTTTTTTTTTTTTTTTTTTTTTTTTTTTTTTTTTTTTTTTTTTTTTTTTTTTTTTTTTTTTTTTTTTTTTTTTTTTTTTTTTTTTTTTTTTTTTTTTTTTTTTTTTTTTTTTTTTTTTTTTTTTTTTTTTTTTTTTTTTTTTTTTTTTTTTTTTTTTTTTTTTTTTTTTTTTTTTTTTTTTTTTTTTTTTTTTTTTTTTTTTTTTTTTTTTTTTTTTTTTTTTTTTTTTTTTTTTTTTTTTTTTTTTTTTTTTTTTTTTTTTTTTTTTTTTTTTTTTTTTTTTTTTTTTTTTTTTTTTTTTTTTTTTTTTTTTTTTTTTTTTTTTTTTTTTTTTTTTTTTTTTTTTTTTTTTTTTTTTTTTTTTTTTTTTTTTTTTTTTTTTTTTTTTTTTTTTTTTTTTTTTTTTTTTTTTTTTTTTTTTTTTTTTTTTTTTTTTTTTTTTTTTTTTTTTTTTTTTTTTTTTTTTTTTTTTTTTTTTTTTTTTTTTTTTTTTTTTTTTTTTTTTTTTTTTTTTTTTTTTTTTTTTTTTTTTTTTTTTTTTTTTTTTTTTTTTTTTTTTTTTTTTTTTTTTTTTTTTTTTTTTTTTTTTTTTTTTTTTTTTTTTTTTTTTTTTTTTTTTTTTACCCTAAGCTTGAACCCAACACACCTCCTGCACCCCCCCCTACCAGTGTGCCTGGGCAAGACTCTGACCTGTTCCCCAGGCACGACCACAGGGAGCGAAGTAAGCATGGCAATGGTTATTAAGCAGAAGTGTGGAGAGGTTCAGGTTTCATTGCATTACTGTGTTGGCAAAGGACTTCATGAATGTTCTTCAGTAAAAAGTAACTTTAGAAAAAACTGAACATATACATACATACATTTTGGCATTGAGATGTGAAAGTAGGAGTGTGTGTGTGTGTGTGTGTGTGTGTGTGTGTGTGTGTGAGTGTGTGTGTGCATGTGTTTGTTTGTTTGTTTGTGTGTGTGTGTGTGTTTCTATGTGCTTGCTTGTTTTTTATGCATGCAGGAGTGTATGCATGTGTGTGCTTTTGATGTTTGTATACCTGTGCATGTACACAGTTTATGCTTTATCCATGTATGTATGTAAATAAGACATTGAAAAATACTATCAATTCTAATTTTCAACATTAGTCCTATTCTACCAACAGAGGAACAATGTAATAATATGAAAGCCAAGAAACAGTAACAAATAAACTTGGACTAATATGATAAAAACCAAGCAGAGGTAACAACAGAGAAAGTGAAAAAGAAATGAAACTCTTTGTTTACTGTCATTCCACAAACTTGGGTTTAAAGAACATATACCATAATGCTGTGATAAGGAACACATAAATCAGTCAATTAATAAAAATCAAATCTGCAAATGATACTAAATACTGCCTTAAGCTCTAAGATCTACCTTCTTATTATATTTCCTCCAGTCGAGTTCTACTTGCAGCAAATATGACACTAATCCTTGTATTGATAAAGCACAAATTTCAGAGCACTAAAATGAAGACATACAGAAGCTTCAACTTATATTCAAAATAATTTGAGGAGAGAGTATCCATTTCTAAACCTTTGTTCCATGTACAAAAGGTGTCCGAACTACTGGTGGAATTTACACTTACATTATGCTCCTGATTACATAAAACAAATAAAGAAACACATAAACAAAAGATTGTAAAAAATGATTAAATACAATTTTTTCATGATAAGTAATTGCTGATAAATGTATCTATTAAACCACTTAAAATTAATGACAAGAGACTGAACCACTGCAGACAATTATTTTTTTTTTTCATGAAAGTTACTTGAATTTGTCTAAGAATTTTAGCACATTTGTTAAGTCAACATCTTGTTAGTTCTACAAATAAATATTTAAATTTCAAACTCACTTCAGATTTCCATAAGGATTTTAGTATCAGACAGAATTAATACCTTATAACACCTACAATACTTAAAATATAATTCTAAATATAATTCAATATACTGACAAAACCTGCAATATAAATAATCATAAAAGATACACAGATATCTACAGGTGAATATGTCTAAAGTATGTATTTGTTACAAGTATTCCAAGAAAAAAAAAATTGAGCTCTATATAATACTTTGTTGACCATCTTTCTCAATTGGTCTCTTCCCCTTTATCTTTCTCCTTCTTCCGATAAAAAGTAACCAAGCAATGAATTAAAATCGTGTTTTTTCTTCAGTCTTCAACTTTGGACTTCATTACTTTTGGCCCTTACATCAAGGGAGATCTTAGTTTTGAGCTATCAAAAATAAACCCCAAAACAATAAACTGGTATTATTAAAAATTTTGTCTGAAAAAGCTATATAATTCCTCATTTTTGTTTTGTACCAAAAATATTATCAGTACCATTTGCATGTGGAAAACAACATCTATGGTAATGGTACATGGAGAAAAAAATCTGAGTACAAAATAACCATGTGCAGAATAAAGCAAAAGAAAAGGAAAATGGTGTAAGAAGAGAGTGTCCTTTCCCCCCCCGCCAAGGTGCTCATCAAACTTTTTGTGCAGTTTAAGTGTCAGGTACTTACCCACGGAACAGCAGCTTTGAAAACTACCCTGACTTACCTCTCCGCCACCGACACAAACATGGGCACAAGAGTGGATCACAGGAGAGGGAAATGGACGTACAGCCATCGGTCAACAATAAGCTCTTCCCTGTTACTAAACTGCTAATACCAGCTCATAAGACTTACTCTTCAGCTGATTTTTCTAAAGTGCAATATGTTGGTGCAGTGCAATGTCTGCCACTATTCCTGGGTCATCCGTGTCACACAAAATGGTGCATAGAGAGTTTGCTCAAGCACTGCAAAACTAACAGCGACTGAGAGCCCTGTGATCTCTTCTGGCTGATACCTGGTTTTTGTCAAGTTTACAAACACGAGACAAAAAGTAATCATCCACTGAGCTCATTCCAACCACTGAAGTCCATGCAAACTATGGCTACATTGCATACTAACACCTAAATATTTTCTGAAATACAAAGACTATATTCCTATCAAAAAAAGGTCTTTTTGCGAGAAATAAATAAATAAAGAAAGAAAAAAACAAAGTTCTGCATACAAAATAATTTCTGCTCCTAAGAAATTCTAACAGCCCTAACAACACCTTACATGTAACTGACTGAAACTATGAAGTATGGAAGTACAGAATTCTTAAGTGTGTAGGAATTCGGTACAGGGAAAATCAACACAATAGCAAGGCTTCCTTTGAAACAGATCTGATCTAAACACAGTGTCACAAGTGGAAAATCCTTCCTATACATGACCAGCCTTCACAAATTACAGAAACAGACATATTTTCTTGCCCAAAGCAATTGCATTTACCTTCTTTCTAGCGATCTAGTAGGCAACACAATGCAGATACCACAAACTTACTAAGACTGATAATGAACACTTAATACTCACTTCCGGCAAACAAAACAGAACAAAAATACCCTGCACTACCAAACAATCTGAATTCATCCATAATCACCTAGTGTGCACATGCTGCATGTTGGAGGTGACGGTTGAGTCTTCGAAAACAGGGTTGTCCATGGAATACGAAGGAGGCGGAGATTTGCTTTTCTTCTTGCCACTACTTGTGAACTTTCTCATTAGACTTATGCCACTACTGCTTCCACTGCATCTCTCCTTTCCAGCTCTCTATAATCATTCAAAGGACATTAAGCACAAAATGATATTAGTTTCTTAATATTTTAAGCCAAAATGAAATAAATGTTCCTTTTAACAAATAACTTGTTCACACACATAAAAACAACAACAATACTATCACAAATATATTCTATAATGCAGTTAACTAAAAAGGTAGTGTTTAACACGTTGGAATGTTAACTATTTGTCTCTTCATTAAGTAACTGCTAATGCATATAAAACAATGAAGAATACACATCAAATACATATTTCCATTCCACTTCTTAAATTGTCAGAGCACAGAAAACTGGTATAATTTCTCTCTGTCATCGAAGTGCAACCCCACCTTGTCAGTCTTTGATGGAGACAGCATTCCGGCAGCTGCAGTTCCACTCTCCCCTAGGGCTACATTTGGTGGAGGTGAAACAGCATTGCTTAACCCACTTACAGATCTGGAATTTTGCATTACGAAAAATATTACATTCTTATTCCATGGGAAAGAAGACTAATGGAATAATGAAGTGTAAAAGTGATGCAAGTGTATCATAAAATTAAATATCTATAAACATTGCACTTGTGTAAAATGAAAAGCATTTTCCTTGCTAGTTTATCAGTGTTTTTCTTTCTTCCTACACTTCCCACTCTTACTTCAAATGATCATCTTATATCTATACACATCTTCAACATTCTAAAACTCATATCAATAAAACTCACACAATGAATATATCTGTACACATCATCTTCTACATAACATCATCATTAAATGCTGCATTTTTGTTTGCTTTGTGGGTCTGATATGGGACTAGCATTGCATCCACATACGCTTTCTGATCATAAGTTGCTTCACATGGGAATTTCTTTGTTGAATTTGGAAATGGCCCAATGACACCAGCAAAACATAATGTTCACTGTAGTTTTGTTTAGTGAAATGTATTTATGCAATTAGTAAACCTCTTGACTTCATTTAATTTCCCTTTCCTTCAGTTTTAGGGATTTTTTTTTTAACCAATACTATTAACATTGATGCTTTTATCATCATTATCATTATCATAATACTGTTAACACTGTTAATAGCAACATTAGATAAAAGATAATATTTCTGAAAATCAAGGAAAAGGGTAAAACAGGTTAGATATATAGCAATTAATAACTGACTCTTTAGTGATTATGCACTTGGAGCTATCTACATCCCCGATGCCACTGGGTTAATGGGAGATAGTGATAATAACGTATGATAGTGATTTGAAAACAAGTAGTTATGACTGGAATGTTTTATGAGGTTCTTGAGTACGTCTCCTGAAAGGTGTGAGAGAATCATGTGAACTTTGTACTGCACGGAAGGAGGTAGCACACAAAAGACAGGAAAAGGCAGAAAGGCCGGAAGTAAAGGAACGAAATGAAAGTAAGTTGGGTGGAACAGCAAAGAGATAAGGATAAAACTAAGAACACTGGCACACAGGGACTAAAAAGAAGAAGAAGAAGAAGAAGAAGAAGAAGAGAAAAGGCAGCGCTATGCCCTTGTCCCTGTCTGAAGGGAAGCCATATTCTTTCATAAATTTGCACCTAGGGTACTACTAAGAGGAGGGTACTTTGCACTTTTTACTTCTTTATCTAGTTATTCACATTCAATTAATCAATTTTTTTCCCATTAGGCCTGTAAACAAAAAAAAATCATGGTCTGACATTCAACGAGAGAACTGTGGTCATTGTATAAAGAATAAATAAAAGTGTGAAGAATAACGCTTGCTACTACTAAAAGAAAGAAGAAGAAGAAGAAGAAGAAGAAGAAGTAGAAGAGGAGGAGAAGAAAAGGAAGAAGAAGAAGAAGAAGAAGTAGAAGAGGAGGAGAAGAAAAGGAAGAAGAAAAAGAAAAAGAAGAAGAAGAAGAAGAGGAGGAAAAGAAAGAAAGGCCTAAAGATTATCTGGCATCAAGGAAACTGAGCCTCAATCTCGCCATTACCTATGACTTGTGGAGAAACCTTGCGACGAGGGCGACGCTGCGTGCCAGGAGGCTGTGTGGCCCGTTGAGCGATGGCCGGAGCTTTCAATGGAAGAACTCACTGATCTGGGAGGCAGCTCGGGAGGAAGGGAGGAGGGGGGGCTACTGCTTCCTGAGACACCTTTTGTCACAAAAAGAAAAAAAAAAAAAAAAAAAAAAAAGGGAAAGAAAAAAAATCACAGGTAAGTAAACCCTTGACTCCAACTAAGGTACAGCACACAATGTACTCATTAATAATTCAATGTCAGTCAGTTCTACTTCACTTGAAGCACTCTGATAAATCTGTCTGTCCATCAACTCATTCTTCATGTTTGTCATCAATATATTTTGTTTTTAGCTATGTAATAAAAAAAAAATAAAAAAAGGTACAAGTGATATTAAGCAGGTAATCCTGAAGTGCTCTTTACAGATCTAACTCAATAAATTTTCAAAAACACCGCACAGAATATTAACAATAAACAAATTGCTGCATAAAAACTATACAAATACACACAACCAAATCATAACACACTGAGAATACTCCTCAACTGCAAACTTTCTTTTATCACTACATTTTAATTTCTGTGATCAAAACCTTTCAACAATGCATTCCTACTACAGGGAAAGCATCTTTACCATCTCACCTAAACTTCTAATTCTCTAAATCAAAACTTTTTTTCGTGATCTAAACCCAATGACACTGAGCTTTTAGTTTCTTAATTTTGTATACACATATAAGACTCCACAAGCGCTTACTAACCAATGAATCAATTTGTAGAGTTGATTCAAAGTTGTGCAAGCTAAATTACTTTTTTCTTATCTTTTTCTTTTTTACAACCAAAACTGCAGTGAGTGAGGAGCAGCTAAAAACCCTTAAAAGCAGCTTTAAATTAAATTTTTAACCTTGTTCATAGGAAAACCTATTCTACTGTAGCCCAAATCCTAGAGTGGGGATATTACAGATTTCCCTCAATGTAGCTAGGTGTGTGCAGTGCCTGTTATGTTCATTATGGTGCATGAATCACTATCAATACTGGGTTAATTCTTACTATTATCATTACCATTATCATCATTGAAAATCACACAAAAGGGTAAACAGGTAAGATCAGGTTGAATATGTAATTCACTCCTTGGTGACTAATGTCCTGTGGGGCCATCTATGTGTAAAGAAAATTAATCACTAAAATCACAATGGATATGGCACATACACTTACCCTCCCTGCATCATCAAGTAAACAAACAGATTTCTATGAAGTGGAACATGTAATTACAATTTCATGGTTTGTGTCAGTTGATAATTCTAACCGAGGGAGAGCCTAAGCTTAACAGTAATTGAAAATATTATCTAACAACCAGATTTCATCTCAATAAAGCAGAAGATAGCAAATGCCTTGTCACCAACTTAATTCCTTTAATTCTATTCTAAAACTAACACCAAACCATAAAAACTTGAAATAGATATATAATAAGCTCCAAATGCCTATCTAAGGTATTTCAAAATAATCCACATGTAAAAGAAATGGTGGATCGATGTGTACTTACTGGGGAAATTACATTACAGTTCTTAAAGCACCCAGATTGTATGGAATAGCCCAGAAAATATGATGGAGCCAAGAAGTACTAATTATAAAAAAATAATATTTGGGGGAAGATGGAAGGCAACCTATTCAGGGCTTTACAATTAATTCTTTACCCATTACTGCCCAGCGTTATATATTTGTCATGATTTTCCACTTACGGAATTTTGTTTCCCATGTGTCTCTTAACCTGAAACAGGGCTGAACTAGATTACTCGGGTGACAGCAGGTTAACAAAGGTGTTTGAGCTTGCTCCATGGTCACTGGTAGGGAAGTGAAGTGTAACAAAACTAATTCCTGTCCAAAACATCCACCTCTTCTAAAATCTCAGGAAGTTCTGCCTCAATCATTGTAAGAAGTAATGTTTTCATTATCAATATGACCAACAATTGCACAATGGAGTATTACATATGATGTATTTGATTTCTATTTCATCTGAATTTCATATACATAATCTTCAATCTGGTGTGACATATATGTCACACTAGGCTTACACCTTGACAAACGCCTTATTCTTATGATTGCATGATCTCCAGTTAATTTCCGACAACTACTATTGTTTCTGTTCTGAAGAAATGCCATCTTACTAAATGAGAATACGCCATATGACTTCATCTTAACATATATTCCACTTTCAAAGGAAATACAAGACAGTAATCATGGGGGCAAAGTAATAATAAATAATACTAGATGCAAAAATCACTCATCGAAGTCTGTTCAAATGGGGATGAAACAAGAAAGAGAAACAGCTAAATAAGCTGCTGGGACACATAACAATCATATACAAATTGAAGATCAATAATGCCATCATGACATTAGCTGCAACAGTCCACATAATTACACAATTGAATGATGTAACTGTACACAACGCTTGGTTCTTGCATAAAAATTTAAATGCAAGGAGCAAATCTCGGACAACTACAGTCTCTTACACAGAGAAAGTATTCAATATGAATAAAGCAGTGCCTTGCAGAAACCTCGGAAAAGAAAAGATGAAAATAGGTGGGGGTGGACGTAGGAGAGCCCCAACCAGTCAGTGCTACAAGTCTGACATGGGATCAGGGGCTAGTAATTAAAACCTTGATGACAGGTGAAGAAAACTAAAAAATCAAAAAACTTTACGCACAGATTGAGCTGTTTGTTATGACGCCTCACGGCATTACCCATCAGGAAGGGGTTAAACAAAAACATTCCTAAAACCACAGTATTTTAAAGCAAGAAATTTTCCTGAATTTTACAAAACTTACCATACAGGCAGTAGGAATTACTGAAGTGTCAGAGATACTTCATTATCTACAACATAGCCACCCCCTACACTCAAAGAACATGATACTGTACCCATAGCTTCCTCCTAACCTTAACCAAGGCTCTGCTGTGATGTGTAGATGGCAGATACTGGGTTTAGTTTACCCTTCCCCCTCCCCCTCTTCTATCCCAGCTGCACATTAACTCCATATAATCCATGACCTTTAGTTGGGGTCATTTGCAGTTCAACTATGCCTATGCAGTATCAAATGCCCAAAAAGGAGACCCTGATTCTGTCAATTACACATCAACATGCCCTAGCCACTAGGAGGAGAAAAGTTGTCTAGGGACTAGTGGTCAAAAAGATCTTTCTCTAACCAGGCAATGAAATATTGAAATAAAATAAAGCATTACGAACTCATGTTAGTTATCTCACTGTATATCTGACACAATTGTTCCTAATGCAGAGATAAAAAGAACTGTACACATATTGACTGCAAGATTATCAGGTCTTAAAGTATGAGGATGAATTTCCACCTCTTCAAAATGCTTTACCATACATGCACACAGCAATTTTACCATGTAATTCAATGCTGACTAGAAATCATGAACATTATGAAGTGTGAAGTGCTCATGACTTCTCAGAGAAATAACCACATAATTCATGAAAAAAACAAAGAAAATTATATTTTAATTAAGTCATTGAGATACCCCTGTCAAATTTAAAAAGGCAATAGTAGCATTCAACTCATTCAATATGGGATTTTCTAATACCAAACCACACATGCTGGGGTGTGTATGCAGTCCTCCGCTCAAGATCAAAAAGTGGGAAACATAAATATATACGGATGAAATGTCTATATGTACTTTTTTAAAAATTAAGACAACACATTGAGATTGTAATACAGCATTTGAACTGCTTGATCTGCATTATTTTTGTACAATATATCAGGGGAGCTAAACATATACACTATTGCTCTAAGAGATATGAATAAACACATAACATTTACCACCAGACAGTCATCTTTGGACCTGGGATTTTCTTTTCAGTCTTTTTGTTACATGGTTTCCAACAAAGGCACTATTTTCCTCACCCAACTGCAAAAAATTACCTTACCAGTTCTCTCTTAAAAAAAAAAAAAGGGGGTGATGACTTTTTAGTTTCTTTAAAAGGTCTTTCAAACAAATGAAAGAGTTTTGGAATCATATCAATGGTGTTCAAGTTATTTGCCATCATGGTTGAAAAAAATAAATTTGAGACAAAACCATTTGAATTTTTTTTTTGTCCTCTGGTGGCATTAGTAAATATATTTAATACTTTAAATATATCTGATACTTTGTGACAATAATATGGAAAAAAATAATAGTAGTTATACTTTTTGGGGCACTTACTGGCCTATTTGGCTGTCACCCTCTACCAATTGAGCTCTATGGTACTGTATATACTATTCTTAATGCATTTTGAATGATAGAGCAATATGCAGTATGACTAAAAGAGACATCAATAGCAAAGACCTTTATCTCTAGTCTTGCTCCAAATGTTTGCTTTTAGGGCTTGGGTATAGGGGTGAGAATGCTGTACAAATACTCCCCATTATGACCATTTTGGACCCCACTGCCTGATGGTGAGGAGCAATCTCATAATAGACAGGGCACCAACCCATCACAGTCACATGCACCGAGTCACACCCACATAGTCAGCCAATGAGCATGTCACATTGCCTGGGAGATGCCTAGGAAGCCTCAGTCACACTGCCTTGCTATAAACATGCTGGATTATACTCCTGGTCATCTTCCCCCCGAAAAGGTATTTTTTAAATTTTTTATATTTATATTTATATTTAAAATACAAATTAAGGAATTTTGCTATACATTCTTAATAATCCATAGAATAGCCTTTCATTGTATTTGCAAAAATCCAAGCTTGCAACTTTTGGAGAGCATGCAAGCTAGAAAATGGGGGAAGGAATCCCTCTCTGTCATTCCAGGCTCAGAATAATGCTCATTATAATCAACAGTTAATACACCTTTTACTGTGATAGTAATTTACTAATTTTTAACAGCACTACTTAGCCTTCATGGTGAAGTCAAGTTTTGAAAAGACCAACACCAGTGAGGTAATAAGTTTGTAGATTCTGTCTCAAAAATGCAATAAAACTCAAGCCATTCAGATCTCAAAACTATTTAAATTCTCTTATCAAAAATTATCCTTCATTAGGAATTACCATTTGGATGCAAAGGAAAGAATGAATTTGAAGAGATGAAATGTCAAGAGAAAAGTTAGAATACAAAATATAATATCAAAATATCTAAAGGAATAAAAAAGTAATGAATAGACAGAACAATAGAAAGCAAATAGAAAGAAAAAAAAAAGTGGCCTGAGAAAAAAAGTAAAGAATTCACTGAGAATAAAAAAAAGGAGAGAGAGAGAGAGAGAGAGAGAGAGAGAGAGAAACAAAAAATAAACTCCTGTCTTGCCTGAGCTTAATATTACGTTTCGCTTTACAGCCAAGTTGACTCGATTCTTGCTGCTAGCCACCAAACTCATGTCTGGGTGGCAAGTACCCATGCTCTGCCCTATGCCTTGTGCACTCAACTACTGTTTGCTTGCATGGCTGAGGGAAGTGTGAGCCTCCAAAGTTTAGTCTTGTTTATGTAAAAATCACACATACTAAAGCAAATATTGTGGACAATAATAACATGGTTTCCATAAAAAAAAAAAAAAAAAATTTTATGTCGATAGGCGTGGCCCGTCAGTGTCGGGATACTTTAAATCAGTGGATGACTGTGTGAGAAACCCAGATTGTCACAGAATTAAAATGTGGTTATCTATTTTCCTTCTCAATTTCAGTATGAATGGGACAAAATGAGGGGAAACTATTAAGTTTGATACTGTCCAGAATCTCTCATCCAAGCACAAAGTTACAGACAGCTATCTCTCCCCCATCCCTATAATCAATGAGCCATTTCCTGTGTGTCTGAGTGGCTTCTCCCTTTCCATTCATCCTCTGCAAGTTATCAGAGACTACTGCACCCATGCATGCCATCTCCTGCTTCCTTCTAGGATATCCTCCTCTCCCCTCACACTGTTGCCTTCTGGGGTGAGTGAGTATTTTTCACTACTTCATATACACATGATAAACACATCCCCAGACTGATTTATCATCTCTTTTTCGTTCTTATCAGCTGACATTAACTATTTAGGTTTGCATATGTTTGGTATATTTAAATTCATATACAATATCCTTATTATTCTACACTACTTCATTCTTTCTTAAAAGAGATTTGGCAAACCAGAGTACTCCAGAGTCTGGGGTGAGCTGCCATGAGTTTCATATGTATGTTTTTGTTAACTCTTCCATTTTCATTGACATAGAATGGGTTACATTTTCAAATCTGATGCTCCACTATTTAATAAACATTTGACATACCAGCATAAGTGGGTATGTAAAATCAAACTCCCCAAATAATACAAGCAAAATTTGACCCTGATAAAAGCTGAAAATTCGGGTTTATTGGTGGCTGGGGAAATGACAGGCTGCAGAACTGTGACCAGTGAGGGTTATATGTGAAGTCCAAAAAACTTCCATGTTCATTTTGACAACCTTCCAGCTGCATTGTAAGGGGATAATGAGTGGGACAATTTGGAAATTAAGCTATTAATAATTATCAATATGTACAAAATAATAATAAAAACAATAATAATAATAATAATAATAATAATAATAATGCAATCCTTTAATATCTAAATGTTTTCTCAGTGCATTATTAGTCCTCATTTCTTTTTCCCCACAAAAACTTGTATAATACAATAATGATGATATAACTAACTGTTTTGCAAACTTTGTTACCTTCATACATTTAATTCTCATAAATATACTTTATCAAAATTATTGATGTCACTCCTTCAACACCAGCAAGACTAATACTTCAGCCAAAAAGCCTAATACTGTCACATAATTTGAAAGAGAAGTGACTGTAACTTCAAAGGAAAATGGAGAACACAGCTGAAGATATTCTGTCTTCTTTAAATAGAACAAAAAGAGACAGAGAAAAAATACCATGTATTGTGCTATCACAATTTGTTTGCACAAGTCTGCTATGATGTATGGACGTTTTATGGCAATAAATTATGTCTTTTATTTACAAAAGACAGACCTCTTAACTTTAAGAACTGTTTGCAAGTACTATATGCAATCATTATTTTGGGGGAATTAGCATACTCAAGCTATAACTTACAAAACTCTGGAATTGCTTTTTTTAGATGCAAAAGGCAGTACACATATGCCACACACAATGAACAAGGTAAAAACGGTTACCAATATCGTTACTACTACCATTACCAGTATCACCATCACTACTACCACTACTGCTAATGCAACTACAAATAATGATGATAATAATAATAATAATAATAATAAAAATAATAAAAATATTAGTACTAGTATATAAATAATTAACAAAGGCAAAACAAAACAAAAAGGCTTTTCACCCTAATTTCCAGGAAAGAGAAATCCAAAACAAATAAGCTGCCTTCTACAAAAGAAAGAAGAGAGAGAGAGAGAAAAAAAAACAGAGATGAGAGAAGAGAAAAGTACAATACAAAGGGGGACCACTGGGCACTGGGACGAGGACTACAGGATACCGGATAGGGGTCTTGTTAGCTTGGATCACATGTTAATCATGACTCACCAGCCGCCGGGGAGAGAGACCCTGCAAGCGGCGAAGTGTGAGTTGGGGACAGAGTGGGTACCATAGAGTGAACTGGGGTGTCCAGCAGACTTGTGTTCTCACCACGGGAACCTTCAGCATGCCTGCCGTCTGCTCCACCACCCGGGCTTGCTCTAGGCCGTGTGTAGCTAACCACACCCGAGGGGAGGGTGCTGCTTCCACTTCCACCGTTACTAGGACCCAAGGTGCCTCCCCCTGTGCTGTTGTTGCGGTTGTGGCTGGAAGACCCCCGAGCATTGCGCTTGGCCAGGTAGGCAGCTATTGTCTGTGGTCTGTGGTATAAGAAATGCTAATGTGTCAGAAAAATACATAAGAATAGACTGATTTTACTGGAGAACAGGTTTATACTAAAAAGCAATGCTAGCAATGCACAACAAAATTCATACATATCAGAACTGAAGGCAGACAGATATCATACTTAGCAACTTGGACGTAATTTCCAGGAAAGACTCCTGCTCTATCTGTTGTTATACAGCGACCTTTATACCATCCATCTTGGCACTTTTCTGTCACTGTGTATATGTAGCCTTTCCTTAGCTCCAACTCATCTGCTTTGCGTCCCCGGTATGAGTAAAGCGCCACATAGCTGTGATGAGAATATTTAATATTTTTGAAAATATAAAACAACACTCTGCTTTCTATGAAAATTCTGTAATTCTGCCAAAGGTTTCAATTCTGTGTTGCAAATTAACTCAGACAATTTTCTACAGTGCCTCAGGCGGACCTGTTTACTACTTTCAAATCAAACAACAAAATTGACAAAACATAGACAAAATGAATAAAACCAGAGATAATGAACGCATGAAACTTACAAAGTTGTGACAGATACTTGAGGTGCTGATGAGGATAACCCCAACTGGGTAGAGGAGGCAGTTCCTGATCTGACTCTTGGGGACCCTAAGGAGTCTCCGGCTGGCTCGCCATTCCCATGCACCTCTTGGGCCTCTTCAGCACTGCCTGATGCAATGCCTGGGCCTCCAGCACCCAAGCCAGTTGGCCCTGAATTCCCACCATGAGAAGATGGCTCATCGGTTGGGCTGACAATTTCTAAAGAATGCCTGTTGGAATAAAGATAATACAACACTATAAAAACTAACACTAGTTGTTGTCTGTGTGTTGCTATGGCTGTATAAACAAGTTCATTGAGAAAGTTTCTTTCGATTTTTGTTCAACCTCACTACAAAAGGCCATTGCTGAGTGTAATGAAATGGACAGTGAATGTAACCTAACCAGCACCTGGGATAGAGCCCCTTAACAACAGAACCTTTATTACACAGGTGAAATCAGTGGCAAATTAATGTGTATCAAATACGAGAGATTAAACATAAAGGTTCCTACATCTCAATATCTCATAAAAAAAAAAAAAAATCAATCTCATAAAAATAAAAAAAATCAATCAATCAATAAATGATTTTCTCTTCCTTTATTGAAAATCATAAGGACAATCTCCTCCTTAAAGCAATGCTCTCATTATCTATCAGTGAAAAACATATAATTTATTGAAGCATAAGCCACAAAGCACAAACAAAATACCTTCTTCCACTGATAGGCCTCCACCTTGGAAAACAATCATGAACACAAAGACTAAAAGACTAGCTCAAGCAGACAAGTTTGATCACAGTAAAGGAAGCATTAAGTGCAAAGAAGAGGGCAAAAATCAACACCACATCCCCATACATGACCCAAAGAAGTACCATGGCTAGACAACAAAAAGCAAGGGAGTGTTCCGTGTAATCAATGGTGATGTGTGGTGGAAAGCAATACTGCACTGCCCATAACACAGGGCAGACCACATCACAGGATGTACAGTGAGGTTTTGCCTCCCATCAGAAATGAAGGAACAAAATGAAAAAGAACCCAGAGATATGGCAGCCTCAAGATGGTCTAATAGTTAATCCTCCAGCTCTGCAGGACCGTCAACTTCCAGATAGTGATGTTCCACCCTTAGTTGCACTGTCATTAAGAAGGTATGATGTCATTAGATGAAGCTGCAATATCATGACTTAAAGAGATTTTGGATCATAAATGGAACTCTGCCTTCAGAAAGAACATCAATTAGAGTCTAACATATACTGTAACATCTTTGCTAACAAGGAACAACATGAAAGTTACACACACAAAAAAAAAAATTAATGTGTTGATAGATCAAAACTGTTATTATTAAAGGTCACCTGAGAAAGTGTGTTGAAGTTTTCAAATTACTGTGTTTTCTGCATTAATTCATCATGCCATATACTTTACAACTCTTTATCTATTTATTCAACCACATAAAAAAAAAAAAAACTTTTAATCCCCCAGAGTTCCCCAAGTTGCAGACAAACTTTTTGAAGCTCAGAAAAACAATAGTTACATTGCCCGCCGCTAGGGGATTATGTCTTAATTATTCAACAACATGGCAGAGAGTTACAGCAGTGAAGAAGAATTTGAGGAAATAGAACTTTCGTGCCAAACCCAAAATCAGGGGGAGAGAGAGGAAGATAAAGGGAGAGAAAGGGAGAGGGAGAGGGAAAGAGAGAGAGAGTATTCAGTATACAGTCACAGTACACACTGACACTCTATCTCCTGTCTCTCTCCCTCCCTCCCTCCCTCTCTCTCTTTCTATTCTACCATCCCTCTCTCCCTCCCTCCCTCCCTCCCTCCCTCCCACCCTCTCTCTCTCTATCATATTGAAACTTAGGGGGAATGACCATATGAACCCTTCATTCATTCATCGCAAAATGTAGAAGATACACAAGATAAATATGTACAGCAAAGCCATGTTTGCATACAAATTGATCAGTGCTAATTACAGCCTCTTTGAATTCTGTTTGCATAGTCAATACCTCCTGAGAAATGAAAATCCCCTACAACTGTCCCAAATGCAAACCTCACAGTTACAGACTTCCATGTTATATTAAGGTGTTGAAGTCTGGAATGATCTCTTAGGAATATACGAGACAAGCTAGCTCTCCTGGTTTTCAAGAAATCATTAAAGAATTTCCTATTGTCTAAGTACATGTATCTTTGTAATGAAATGTCACTTTACAAATGTATATAATGTGTAAATAATTTACTTCAATCAGAATAACTGAAAATCAATAATAAAAGCATTGTCATAATTTCTAAAATGACATTAAATTGCTTAACTATTATTAACCCAGTGCTTAATATTTAGCTATTACAAACCCAAACTGTACATATATATATATATATATATATATATATATATATATATATATATATATATATATATATATATATATAAAATGTAAAACAAGTCAGGAATCTCTCTCTCTCTCTCTCTCTCTCTCTCTCTCTCTCTCTCTCTCTCTCTCTCTCTCTCTCTCTCCCGCTTTGACATGAAAGTGCTTCTATTTCCTCAAATTCTTCTTCACTGCTGTAACTTTCCACTATTGTGTTGAATGAATGAAACTGTAAACAGCACAAACTGTGTCATCACCATCTCCTAATGGTGGACAGCATACTATCCTTTTTCAGAGCGTTAAAAAGTTTCTCTGCCACTTGGGGGAACCCTACGGTCTTAAAAGTATGATCTTCTGAAGTGGTTTAGCAAATTATGACTTATGAAGTATATACCATGTTTTATTAATACAGAAAACAAATTGATCTGAAAACTTTGACACACTTTCTCCGGTGACCTTTAACCTAAACCCAACAGGCATGGCATATACGTACATGCCATGCCCACTGTGAGTTTACTTTATTAATTGTTTTTACACATAGATGGCTACACTTGTTCTAAGTCACCAATGAGTGCTACCTGCCTTGCCTACTTACCCTTTTCCTTGATTTTCGAAAATATTTTACGTTATCTCATGTTGTTGTTATTAATATCAATAACATTATAGTAATTATACTGTCTATAATAAAAATAACACCATCAATATTCATAGCATTAATAAAACAAATGTTTTTCCTGCAAATTCGAGGAAAGGTGAAATCAAGTAAGGCCATCAGGTCTACTAATTGACTTCTTGCTGGCTAAACACTTGCAGAGCCATCTATGTGCAGAGACATTTCACAAAAAAATCTAAAATGGGCACAGCATTTTGACCAGCGACACTGAGTTAGGATCCCTAGATATATCAGGTCTTCCCACATTAATGTACTGACCTACTACCAGGTTGGTATGGGTGATAACATATGGCAAACCTACAGCTGGATGTTCCACTTAAATACTGAGGAATCAATTCTAAGTACTCACTGTGAACCAAAGTAATGTGTGCGAGATCAGAAATTCAAACACACACACACACACACACAATGTATGTGTGTGTGTGTGTGTGTGTGTGTGTGTGTGTGTGTGTGTGTGTGTGTGTGTATCAATGTTTTAAGGGAGTGTGCAAGAGGGTATACAGCATGATATTATGAACAAAAATAGACATCTTATATTTCTCATATAGAAGACCTGTCATATCTAATGATCTTGGCTTTCATTTCAGAATAATCTGTCACTGTAATCGGCCAAAACTGTGATGGTTTCACGTAGACTTTCAGGTCTGAGCAAAGAGAACCATGGAATCTGAAGTCATATTGAAGCTAGTATTCAGATTCCACTCCTCTGAACATTACTTCTTTAGAGATAAATACTGCAACTCACACTTCCACTGCATTTATACAATATGCAGTGCAACCCTCCAACTCACTTCCCATACTATAATCACTTTCAAGTCAGCTCCAAATTAATACACTAACTTATAACCTATGTCTGTAACTGTATATCACCTTATGGGACTCTTCATATTTTCAATATTTATCAGATTATGTAAATGTTACATTCTCATCATATCAAACCTTTTCCTAGTGATTATGATCTTTCTTTAGATTCAATTGTGTTTTAGTGTGAATGATAATTATATATGTAGTTTTTGACACTAAGAAATCTTCAGTACTGGGGGAATTATTTATAACTGGTCAAGAATATCAGAGTTGTTCTTTACGGAAAGGGACACACACACACACACACACACACACACACACACACACACACACACACACACACACACACACACACACACACACACACGTCTGTATGCATATGTATTTGTATTTATTTGTGTGTGTGTGTGTGTGTGTGTGTGTGTGTGTGTGTGTGTGTGTGTGTGTGTGTGTGTGTGTGTGAACAGTTTTTGGGTAAATGCAATATGGTCCAGCTGATCTACATTTCAAGTAGCATTTTAATGTGAACTGTGGCAACATTTAACCAGAAAAACCTGAACAATGGATAAACTATGAAATATTTTATATTTCTACAGTGTGACAGAAGTGCATGATATCTGTCACAGCATATAAATGCAGAAAAATGGCTGGCATTAAGTCTGCAAACTGTCAAGGTGTGATGATCTATAAATCACAACAATGGATCATACACCAATTACCACCAGAATTCTTCAATATCATCTTTTCAATAAATGGATAAAAGAGAAAATGTGGATAGGTATATATTGATAAAGTGTCTTCCCTCTTGGAGAGGATAAATAAAAGCAACGAAGTCAAAAGCACTACCCAGATGTGCCAAAATAAAGTAACCCTTCTAGACCTAGTAATTCAATTTTATAACCTCAGCCTTGCAAATTAAGAAGGGTAGAGAATATCCCTGTTCAGTTTAGCCATACCATGGGACAGAGAAGAGGCCAGGAAAACACAGCCTGATGTGTTTAAGCTGTAATTTTAAGTCGTAATATGACAATGGGCACGACTTTCTCCATTCATCATTTCTCTGGTTTTAGGGTTTTGTTGATGGCATTACTTGCTTAAAAAGCTA